ATTTGTGCTCATTCCATTTTCTTGATGTAGGAACTCACCACTATAAATGTCCCTTTTAGGACTGCTTTCATGGCATCCCACAGGTTCTGGTAAGTTGTATTTGCATTTTCATTTGATTGTAGATATTGTCTAATAGCTTCATTAATTTCATCTGTGACTCACTGGTTGTTCAGGAGGGTGTTATTTAATTTCCATGTGTTTATGGAGTTTTTGCAGTTTCTTTTGTCATTAATTTCCAATTTCATTGCATTATGCCCTGATAATATGCATGGGATAATTTTAATTGCTCTGAATTTACTTAAGCATGTTCTATGACTAGTTCATGGTGTATTTTAAGGAATGTCCCATGTGCAGCAGAGAAGAATGTGTATTCTGATGTTGTTTGGTGGAAAACTTTGTAAACATCTACTAAATCTATTTGTTCACAGGTTTGGTTCAGTTCTGTTATTTCTTTGCTGATTTTTTGTCTAGTTGATCTATCTCTTTGTGACAATGGGGTATTAAGGTCCCTCAATACAATTGTTTATTACTTATTTGATTTTTCATGTCTATTAATACTTGTCTTATATAGTTGTGTGCTCCTGTAGTTGGTGAATATATAATTATGATTGTTATCTCTCCCTCTTGAAGTTTTCCCATAACAAGTATGTAGTGACCTTCTTTATCTCATTTGATTATTCTTGGTTTGAAGTTCACATTGTCTGCAAACAGAATAGCTACCCCTGCTTTTTTCTGGGTTCCTATTACATGGAAGATTATTTTCCATTCTTTGACTTTCAGTCTATGAATTTCTTGTTGAGTTAAGTGTATTTCCTGTATGCAGCATATTGTCGGATCTTGTTTTTTGATCCATTCTTCCTGTCTGTCTCTTTTCATTGGTGAACTAAAGCCATTTACATTGATGCTATAACTGATATGTGTTGGCTTATCTTTGTAATGTTATTTTCCTGCTCTTTGTTCCCTGCTTTCCCCCTCTGTTTAATTGCTGGCCCTGCCTGGTGGTTTCTTTCTAATGTTGTTCATGGAATTTTGGTCATTTTTATCTCTATCTAGAATATCTTTCATCATGTATAGCTCTATTTTCTTTAGAAACCACTTTGAAGATAGCAAAGTATAGTACAATAACCATTGATAATAACCTACCACTTTTGTCTGTAACTCACTATTATTTGTCTATTTGTTTTCCTGAGAAACTATCTTGTAGATAACAATATGTAAAACAACAACCATTGATAATTTCCTAACACTGTCTGTAATTCAGTAAGCCCCCCCATTACTATGTTATCCTTCTTTTACTCTTTAAAATTTAAAAAAAAATTGCAAAAATAATAGAATATCTTTCAGTATTCTGCATAGGGTTCATTGGTGGTCATCAAATTCTTAAATTGTTCTTTGTCATAAAAGTATTTTAATTCTCTATTAATTTTGAAAAATAGTTTTGCAAGGTGCATCAATCTGGATTGGAAGTTGTTTTCATTCAGGACTTAAAATACTTCACTCCAAGCTCTTCTTGACTTGATGGTTTGTGTTGAGAAGTCTTCCATGATTCTGATGGGCTTTCCTTTGTAGGTGATCTGTTTCTTTACTCCAACAGCTTTTAATAGTCTGTTCTTGTGCTGAATTTCTGGGATCTTGATTATTATATGCCTAGGTGTAGATTTACTTTGGTCATGGATACTTGGAGTTCTACATACCTCACTCTTCTGTATGTAAGATTCTGTTCCCATGTTTGGGAAGTTTGCTGCTATTACTTCTGCAAATAGTTTTTTTTATGTCATTTGTGTTGACTCTTGCATTTTCATTGACACCTTTGGACATTTTCATTGTCTAATTTCTTCATTAATTTCATCTGTGACTCACTGATTGTTCAGGAGGGTGTTATTTAATTTCCATGTGTTTATGGAGTTTTTGCAGTTTCTTTTGTCATTAATTTCCAATTCCATTGCACTATGCCCTGATAATATGCATGGGATAATTTCAATTGCTCTGCATTTACTTAAGTGTTATATTGTTTTTATTTGCATCATCTTGCTGCTGTTGAATTGTTATTTCTTGTTTCCTTGTTATTTTTAAGAGATCTTTCCTTTTGTGATTGCTAGCTGCAATCCTGTCTTCAAGGTCTGAAAGTCTATCTTCAGTTTTGTTAAAGCAGTTTTGTGAGCTTTCAATGGAATTTTTAATTTCCTGGTTATCTCTTTGAATCTGTTTCATGCATTCTATTTCTTTCCTATATTGTGTATTAAAGGTTTCCATCATTTTCCTTTGTGCCTCTATATTTTATTATGACTTCTCTAGAGATGTTGAGCAAGTCATTATGATTGTCATTTCTTTTTTTTTTTTTTTTTTTACCTGAGAGAATATTTCTGATCTGATTTCCTCTATAGCATCAGGGATTTGTTTCTTTATTTCAGTTGCTATCATTTCAGAAATTTCAAGTGTTGTCTTCTACTTTCTTCTATGTTGATGTCTCCTGGACTTTTTCTGTGTGGGATGGAGGTCTGAGATTGCATTTTGCTTCTTTATCTTGTCATCAAATTTTTTTATTTTGTTTTCTGTGATGATCTTTGTGAGTTTTTGTAGTAGGTAGCAATATCACTAGTATCAAAGCCTGTTCATGAGACATCCCTGCTCTACAGGGATGTCTTCTGTGTGTAGGAAATTCTTAGTTTGTGTCTGTCCCAAGATCATACCTTCCCAATTAATTAAGAGTGGGATGTTGGTATCTGTTTGGCTCAGTCTGCAGTCCTTTTCTGTAGAGCTGTGCTGAGGTTATTATCCCAGAGCTTCCCAGTATTGTTACCGAAGGAAAAACAGCTGATTACAACAGATATAACATCCTAGATAAAGTAGTACAATTAGCAATAACAAAAGCATCAAGCACAGTTTAGAAAGTGACAAACTGTGGTAACTATTGATTTTGTACTTTAGACTATAGGAGCAAAGTGTATAGTTATATAACAAAATCAGTCATAAATTAGGAATTTGTATACAAAGTGTTGTACTATGGTAGAGTGATTTTACTCTGTGGTGGGGAAATTTAGGGAGGATAGCATATAAAACAAATATAATGGAAAGGAAGTAGAAAAAAGGCTGAAGGACAAAAGATGGTCACAGAGGTTTGGCAAACTAAAGAAGGGTGTAGAGAAGAAAGAATGGCAGCTGGAGATTTAGCTCAGTGGCACAGCGCCAGTCTGGCAAGCGTAAGGTCATGAGTTTGATTCCTGGTACCAGGAAAAAAAAAAAAAAAGGATAACAATACACAATTTAAAAAAAAAGAAAAGAAAGAATGAAGGAGTATTGGAGGGATTATCTCAACTTGGTCTCTGGGTTTAGGAGATGGGGCTAGTTTTCTGTGGCTGGAGTTCTCCCCAGCCTTTAGAAAAGAGAAAAGAAAAATGAGATCAGAAGAAAAAAAAGAAAAAGAAAAAATGAGAGAAAAGAAAAAGAAAAAAAGGAAAAGTAAGATAAAAGCAAAGATAAAATAAAATTATATTATAAAAAAGGGGATAGCCCCACCCACCTGCTCCTATTTCTTATGTCTTTGTCCCTGAGCACAATGCTGGTTAACCTAACTTACCACCTTTTGGCTCATATATTGGACTTTTCCATCTTGCTAGTCTTGTCTGTACATCCTGTGTGCACTAGTCGGGGTCCTACCATGTGGCTGGCATTCCCCAGGTGGCCTGGTCCTGTGATGTACAGAGAGGGGCCGGGCACTCGAACTGTTCTGGCAGGCTGGTGCCAAGTCTCAGATTCCTCACAGGCTGGCTGTGGGTCCCACACTGTAGGGGTATGGGCCAGACACCTGAATTCCTCAGGTGCAGCCACTTGCTAAGTCCCAGATTCTTCCTAGGCTGTTTGCCAGGTCCTGCAACATAGGGGGAGGGTGTGTTTAACTTTTTAAGGAACTACCAAACTTTTTCATAGTGCCTCTACAATTTTTCATTACTACTGGCAATGCATAAACATTTCTATTTCCCCATACTTCTCTTTCCCAACACTTGCTATCTTTGGGGGTAGAGGGAGGTATTTCCTTTTCTAGCCACCCTAAATGGTGTGGAATGGTACAGTCATGCACCACCTAACAACATGGCCTACAGACAGCATATATTTTGTTGGCTCCATTAAATTATAATGGAGCTGAAAAATTTGTATCCTCTAGTGAAGTGTTAACCATTGTAATATCATAGTGTAATATATTATTCACATGCTTGTAGCCATCATTTTGTAAACAAACCTACTGCACTGTCAATGGTATGTAAGTATAACATATACAAGTATGCACAGTATACAGTACATGATACTTGATAATGATAACAAATGACTATCACTGTCAACTATGTTACTGTGTTTACTATATTATACTTTTATCAGTAGTTTTGAGTGTACATCTTCTAATGTTTTTAATGTTTACTGCAAAACAGTATGCTGCACCAAGAGGCAATGTTCAGTGACTGCCCTGTATCATCTATGCTTGTGTAAGTACACAGTATGATGTTCACACAATGAAATCACCTAGTGACAAATTTCTCTTAATATATGCATATTGTTAAGTGATGCATACTGCATTTCATTATATCTTTGCATTTCCCTAATCCTTGGGGATGTTAACTATCTCTTCTTGTGCTTACTGGCCATTGATATATTTTCTATGAAGAAATATCTATTCCAATCTTTTACCTATTTGTGATTAGGCTGTCCTTCTATTATCGAATTCTATGAGTTCCTTATATATTCTGTATATAAGTCTCATCAGATAAGTGATTTGCAAATATTTTTCCCATCTGTTGGCTGTCTTTTCAAAAAATGGCATCCTTTGTAATACAAAACTTTTTAAAACTCTTTTATAGCTTAATTTCCTATGTTTTCTTGAGTCAGTTTTACTTTTAACTGAATGCAAAGTCATAAAGGTTTACTTCTATTTTTCTCTTCAAAGAATCTGATAGTTTTAGCTCTAATGTGTTGAGAGTATAAGAGTTGAAGTCTTGGAGACAGACAGGCTTTTGTCCACCATGATAAGGAATTATAAATTAGTCTAATTGCTATGGGTAAAAATTAGAGGGTTCTAAATGAAGAAATAGCACAGTCAGTGAGTATGATGAGAACTAGTCAGATTCAAGATAACTAGAGCCAGGACATCTTGCTAAAGTACCAGATGTACAAGTGCTAAAACAGGAAATATTTAATTCATAAAATTAAGTACTTAAATTTTAAAAGATAATGTGTACTTTTATTTTTGTAAAACAGAAACAAAAACTATAAATTTCCTAACAGGCTTGATTTTTTTTTTTTTTTGTCTTTTTGAGACAGGGTCTTGCTATGCAGTTCAGGCTGGCCTTGAGCTCACTTTGCAGCCCAGGCTGGTCTTGAACTCGCAACAATCTTCCTGCCTCAGCCTCCCGAGTGCTGGGATTACAAACATGCACCACCAAGCCCGGCTCAGGCTTGAAATTAAGTTAAAAGAAAACTTTGTTTCCCCTCTTCTTCCCACTCTGGACCTGTGGAGGATTTTGCCACCATGGTGTCAGTTTGTACATTACAACAATTTCACTTACATCATGCCTCCGCTTCTGATGGTATGTGATATGCACAGAAGGAAAAAGGTAGTTTTTCTTCTTAAAAAAATAAAGCATCAACAGTCTTGCAGGATCAGTCAACAGTTGAGTGTTCCTGGGGCAGATGTGTCTGGGCAGAGACGGGACTGAGGAGGTGGTGTCTCTATCCACACCGTCTGTCTTCGAAAACCACCTTGACCTATAATATCATCCAAGCAATAAGCCATGTTCATGCCATGTAATTTCATTCCCTATTCCTAAAACACATGATTGGACCAGGATTGTCCCTGGCTAGCTAGAGTTCATCAGCAGATTAAAGGACTGTGTTTGATTCTGCAACTGACAGATCATAGCAAGAAAACTTGAATCTACAGCACAGTAAGATAAAACCAAGCACAGGTAAACAGCAACTACAGCAGGTGCAACGAGAAGACCAGGCCAGGGGAAGACATAGGCAGTCAGAACTCCATACCTTAGAGGTGTATCCTGAAACCAGAATGCATCAATCTAAAATACAATGTCATCAGGCCTGGTAAAAAAAACACCTGTAATTGCAGATACTCCGCAGGCTGACGCTGGAGGATGCCAGAAGAATTCAATTCATGAAATAAGGTACCTAAATTGTAAAAATTTTTGAGACCCTTTGTTATGGTTTGTGTCTGGATGTCCCTTCAAAGCCTCATGCAGTCATGTGGTAGGCTTCTAGAATTTTTGATTGATTCATGGTCCAGTGCTAGGATTATGGGTGTGAGTGCTACACCTGCCCTGGGATGGGTAGCCTGCATACAGTATAAGGGAGGGAAACAGGCTTGCTCTCTGCATTCTCCCTTTTGCTCTTGTTGCTTCTGCTGTTTTCCTCTGGCATGAACGGTTGCCCTGTGCCAAGTGCCACTCTGCCTTGGAGCCAGCCAAGTATGGGGACTGAAACCTCCACAGACTGTGAGCTAAATAAACCCTTCCTTCTTTAATTTTGGGGATCAGGTATTTTGTCTCAGCAATGAGAGAAAAGTAACCAAAACACCCTTTCTCAAAATAAAAAATAAAAAGAGCTGGGGATACAGCTCTGGGTGGAATATCCCTGGGTTGAATCCCCAGTAAGGTTGAGGGTGCCATTTATTTACAAATATTTGACTTTCACTTAACTTTTGTTGGAAACAAATATCCTCCAAGGCCTGGGTATAACATGGCCATGGGTAGATACTGTTGATCCATGAAAGATCTGTCTTTTCCACTTCGGTGGAACAATGATTCTGTTCCAGAGTATAAGTTTTTCAAAATATCTTGAGACTATCAAAGTCATAAAACTCTCTATGACTCTAGGAAATTGCAGAAGTTTAAAAATTTTAACTCCTTTTTCTATAAATTCCTACCTGGAATTCTGTGCCGCTTAAATCTCCCAAATGGAGAGTGGAAATCTCAATAAAAGGCATTTTCCCTGCCAATTTTATTTGACTAATCACAAATTTCCTAACTGAGATTAGAGTGAGAAAATGAAGTATATGAGTTACAAATGTGTTATCTCACTGTGCTGTATTGTAGGGCCACCATAAAAAGAATATGTGAAAGGCTATTACTAGAAATGTGTGCGAACTTGATAAGGGAAAGAGAGCCTGGAATGTGGCAAAGACCACAGATAAACCCAACCATGCACAATAGCAAAATTCAGCTTGTATTCTGAGCACCAAAATATCTAAAACAGAACAAAGACAATATGGCACGTCTTCACTGTATGCTCACACATTACACATCCACGCATGTGTACCCTGGGAAAATGTGTACATGAATGCACAAAAGAAAAGGTTGGAAGATGATACACCAACTGTTGGTCACTGTGATATCCCTGGAAAAGCCCTAGGGACCATGAATGGCCCCAGGGCACTTGGGCTTTATTTACAGTGTCTGATTTTTTTTTAAGAAGAAGAGAATATTCATGAAAGACTTACACAGTTGTTATAGTTTGACTGTGTCCCTCACATTTCATCCATTGCAAGTTTAATCTCCCAAACCCCATGTTAGTGGCGTCTGTGAGGTGGGACCACTGGGAAGAGACTGGGTGACGATGGCTGTGGATCAGTCCACTCGTGACAATGGGTTGTGTGAGGAGTGGCTTCTTAGGAAAGCCAGCTCTCTCTGGGTGGCTCTTCTGCTTCACCGTGTGGTGCTGCCTCCTGTACTGATTCAGGAGAGAGGACACTGCCAGAAGCTGGCACCATGCTCAGACTTTGTGCAGCCTCCAGAAAGATGAGCTAGATAAATCCTAGTATTTGTAAATAACCAGCCTGGGGTATTCAGTTATAGTGACAGGGAGTAGCATAAAATGACAGCTAAGTATGCTTTTTAGTTATTGAAGAAAAATCTGAAGGAACATTTGAAATGATAAAAAGGAAAATTTATAGAATGTGAAAATAGCTGCAAAAGACAAAAGCGTCCTGTTTTGCAGCTTGCAGAATCTGTGGACATCATTGCTTAAGGCTTACAAATTCATGTTATTAAATTTTGACACTGAACTTTACAAACCCCTACCATTAGCTGTTCCACTAACCTGAGAAGGGGTAAGAGCTATCTAAACACTACTGAACGGGCATTCTGTATTAATAGGAGAATGCTAAGTTCTCTTGGAGTTCATTTCTCAAGAAAAGATAAACTATTCTAAGCTTTTGCTCTTCTAAAAGATGTCCCTGTCAGAAAGTTGGTAAGAGATTAGCCAGAATAGTAGTTCTAACAAGGAGCCTGTACTTCGAACCCTAATTGTCTCCATTGCAGTTACCTCGCTATGGACAAACAGGAGCCAACAGATGACAGGTGGCTTATTCTAAAAATCACTTTTGAAGCACAACTTTAAATTAAAATGTCCAATAATTATCCATCCTATCATTTCTAAATTACCCATTCAAACCATATTACGCTACTTATCACATGACCAGAATTTCTTACATCCAACCAAAAATTTCCCCTACCATTTATCAAAATACTAATCACATTTTCAAAATATTGTAAAAAAAAAAAAAAAGATAAGATAAGAAAAAAGAATAGTGAGAAATTCTCTTGCTCACAGGCCAGCTCTCTTAAAGCTTTCCAAAATCATGACCTAATCTAAAATGTTCTAGAAGCACAAGACAAAGTCATATTGTTTCTAAGCACCTTACAGATGTCTCACCTACTAAGGCATTCAGAGGGAAAAAATTGGGGACAGGGACTGGGTACAGTGGCCCTTATTGATCATAGGTGATAAAGTAGGGCTCCCTGTGCCCCTACCCTTCTTCAGAGTACAGGATAGAACCCAACGAGGGGAGATTCTCAGTGTGTTGGGGGACTAATTGGGGCAGAGACTCCCTACTCGCTGGGGACCTCTCTTCTCATGTCCTTGCTGGTGCTGGTGTTCCAGGGTGCTGTGGACCATAAAGCCCACTGTCCTATTTCTGTAGCCAAATGTGTTGTCATACCAGGAAATGGACTTGCCAAAGAAGCCATTCAGGAGAATGCAATCCCCAGCATTGAAGGTGGAAAAGTGGGTGTCACTGTGAAGGTCTCAGGAGACCATCTGTTCCTTTACATAGCCCCAGGTGCCCTTCTTGATTTCATCATGTTTCATGGCTTTCTTCAGAAGGGCAGGTCAAATCTACAACTAATACATTGAGGTGGGCACACAGAAGGCCATGCCAGTGAGCTTCCTGTTCAGCTCAGGGGTAACCTGGCCAGGCTTAGCAGTGGCAGGAGGTATAGGTATATTTTTCTGGACAGCCCCACAGCTATCACACTACAGTTTGCCAAAGGGGCCACCCACGGTCTCCTGGGTGACAGTAATGGTATGGGTTGTTGCAAGTTCCTCCATGATTCCAAAGTTGTAAAAGATGAACTTGGCCAGAGGTGCTAAGTAGTTGGTGGTACAGAAGATATTTCCAATGATCTTGGGGGAATTCATATTTCCCAGATTCACACCCACTACCAACGTGGGAACATCAGAAGAAAGGGCATAGATGATAGCCCTTTTGGTTTTGCCCTTCAAGTAAGACCTGACTTTTCCCACTGTGATGAAAGTATCCACTGGACCTCACAGCGTATGTAGCACCAGTGTCACTGCATTTGACATTGATGGATTTGTCCCTGGAAGGTAGAGATGGGCTTACCATTGCTGATAAACTTCCTGTTCTTGGCCTTCAGCATGACAGTGCACACTTGAAATGGGTGAAATCACACTGAAACATGTTGACCATGCAAGGACATCGATGAAGGTGCCATGGATGGTGACAACTTCAGCAGAGTTGGAAGCAGGCTGGGGGCCAACGCCCAGTACAGACCAATCTGTTTACTCTGACATTAACCATCTTGTCTCAGGAGCACAGCTGCTACTGCACAGAAGATGTGGCTTTCTGTCAAACTGGGAGGGACAGAGAATCAGAAGCAAAATTTGAGGCGTTGTTTTGGTGCTAAAATAAAAGGTCATTCTGAAAAATTACACAAAACGTCCAGAAATCTTTGGAATTCCTAGGAAAGAGACTATAAAGGGAAATTTGCCTTGGAATTCTTTTTTTCTTCCACGTTTTAGAGAGGAAAGAAAATAAAGAATTGATGATATCAATTATGAAAACAGTCCTTTTTTCAAAATGTTTTTGAATCCATTACTGTAGTACTGTTGATATGATACATAGGACCAGGGTGCCCCAGTTCCTGCATGGCAAGTGCAAGGTTCTGAGCTTGATTCCCAGTACCAAAAAAAAAAAAAAAAAAAAAAAGATACATGGACTTCCAGTCGATTCTTCTATCAATAACTACAAATTTGCATACATCTGTCCATTCCTTTAGATGGTGTCTCAAGGGTCCAATAACATCCACTTGCACAATGGCCATAGACAGTCTAGGAGTGGCGCTCCAGGCCCTAAGGCACATGGATCTAATTGGACTATGTGAGAATTGAAGCCATGCCCTTGGCCTCTGTTAGGCTATAATCAAAAGAATTAATGATCAGGAGAAAAGAAGGAAGGGAAATATGTATAAGATAGCTAAGGTAATTGTACTAATTTCTATTGGTTTATTGAACAAAACAGTTAATGTTTAATTGTTTGATCAATCTTGCATACCTATATCTGGTAATCTGAGCAACTACTTTGAAGATAACAATGTTATATAACAACCACTATTAATTTCCTATCATCTTGTTTTGAAATTCTCTATCATTTTTATTGTTTTGTTTTGGTTTTGTTTTTATTCTCTCTAAAATTAAAAAAAAAAATCAGGCTGTTCCAATATAAAGATCCAATACAAAAAAATAGACACTTCTCAAATGAAGAAGTACAAATGGCAAATAAATATATGAAAAAATATTGGAAAAAAAGAATTAATGATCAACCAATAACTGCTCTGATAAAAGCAATTTTAAAGAACAACAATTAAATGAACAGTACTTCAGAAAATTAAATTTCATGTACATTATTGAAAATCTAGATAGCAAATAGTAAAATATAAAAGAACATACCTGTCTTCAAATCATGTCCAAAATGTTATTGTTGTTACCTCAGATAATTTTAGTGAAAGCATTTTGAATAATCTTTTTCTTTTTTTTGAGACAGGGTCTCCCTATTCAGTTCAGGCTGGCCTTGAGCTCACTTTGTAGCCAAGGCTGGTCTTGAACTTGCAACGATCCTCCTGCCTCAGCCTCCCAAGTGCTGGGATTACAGGTGTGCCCCACCATGCCTAGCTTGAATAATCTTTTAAAACTAAAGTGTATTTTTAAAATCTCTATCCTTCAAAAGTAACAAAATCAATGTATAAGAGTCTATGAGTGGGGCTGGGGATTTATTTAGCTCAGTGGCACAGAGCCTGCCTGGCAAGTGCAAGGTTGTGAGTTCGATTCTCAGTACTGGAAAAAAAGCCAAAAAAAAAGAGTCTGTGAGTTAAGAATTCATTGCTCTGGAAACTATAATAAGCTATTGATCAGAAAGCACTAAGTTTAGGAAGGAAATAGTAACTAATGAACCAATAACCTAGGTATTTACAAGCTTCAGTTTCTGTTGATACTGAAAAAAAAAATAAAAGCAACCGCAAGGTTCAACACAAACTATAATCAGCTGCATAAACTGTCTCTCTCCCTCTCCCTCTCTCCCTTTCTCTCTCTGTCTCTCCCTCCCTCTCTCTTTTTCTCTCCTTCCCTCTCTCTACCTCTCCCTCTCTCTCCCTCTTTCTGTCTCCCTTTCCCTCTTTCTCTGTCTCTCCCTTTCTCTCCCCCCCTCTTTCACTCTTTCTCTTACTCTTTCCCTCCCTCTCCTTCTCCCTCTCTCTCCCTTTCCCTCTTTCTCCCTCTCCTTTTCTCCCTCTCCCTTCCCTCCCCTTTTCTTCCCTCACCCTCTCCTGTTCCTTCTCCCCCTCCCTCTCTCCCCTCCTCTCTCCCTCATCCTTCTCTCTCTTCCTCCATCTATCCTTCCCTCAGTAGATCTGAAGTGAATGCAGGAATGGCTAGGCTAAGTATTCAATATGTGGTCAAACATCAGGGAACTTTTTAAATGTTATCATTTAAGTCAGCAGTTTTGACATAGGCAGAATATCCTCCATTGGTGGGCCTCATCCAATAGTTGAAGGCCTTAAGAAAAAACAAAGTTTCTTTGTTTTGGTAGGAAGAGGTAACCATATGTGCAGTTTGCCTTCAGCCTCAAGAGGTGGCATCACCCTTTCCCTGGACCTCCAGCCTTCTGGCCTTCTGCATCCTCTTATGATTAGGTTGTCCAAATATGAAGACCAATTTACATCTTACGGGTTCTTTTCTCTAAAGAACCTTGACTAATCTAGGAACCAAAAAGGAATACTGTCTCTCTTCCCTTAGCAGATTTTTCTTCCTAAATAAGAGACAAAAAGACAAATATCTGACCTATGGTTATTTTTAAATATCTGCCTCTACATAAAAAGAGTGAAGGTAAAAACTTCAAGCCATTTATTCGACACCTGTTCATGGATCACTTACTACATGGCAAATCTAGGTTGTCCCAGTACCTGCTAAGGACACAGCAGTGACCAAAAGAGATAAAACCTAGGCTTTGCAGAGTTATGATCTAATGATAACAGGCAAGCAAATGTGTGATAGAACAGATGGTGCAGGTACTATGAAGAAAAGTAGTGAGCAAGGATGGTCCAGAAGACAACAGAATAGCAAGCAGAGGAAAGAGCAGTGCAAAGGCCCCTAGGAAGGCACAGGCCAGCATTCTCAGAGAACAGCAAGGAGACCAGTGTGGCTGGAACAGTCTTCAAGGGAAAGAACAACAGAAGACAAAGTCTTTCTCTAGATGAGGCGGAAAACCATTAGATTTTGAGCAATCAAAGATATGACCTGATATTTGATGGGTTTCTCACCTCACTGTAATTCCTGCCAAGTTGCTCTGGCATCCAGCCAATATGGTGCTGGAGGTCATGTGCTATGGCACTGAGCCAGTATGGCACCAAGTCCATATGGCAATGGCCACTAGAGGTCATGCGCTAAGCTCCACCCCTCTCTTCCTCTGAGTCAAATTACAACTTCCTATTTCCCTTTTTGTAACATCCTGTTTCCTTTTCCCATACTCCTGCCCAATCCTGGTCTGCCATGTCAGGCAATCCACCTCCTAAACCCCACCTCCAGCCTGAAGCTATTCAACCTTTGACCCCACTACAGGCCCTCAGAAGTTCCACGTCTCTCTCTCTCTTTCCTTGTGGTCTTCTCCGCGCCCACAATAAAGGCATTTTATTCTGCTTTACTTCTCTCTGTGCTGGAAAAACTTATCAATATTAATTTTGAACAATTGCTCTGGCTGCTATATGAAGAATAAATAGGACAAGGGTGTACTAAGGAAACTTTCACATGCTATACTTCAAGCAAGAAATGATGGTGACTACATTCACTAGTGGTGTGTAAGCAATTACACCCATAATTAAGCAGCAAAATTCCAGAGTGGAGCCTTATCTCTTTGGCAATTTTTAAGCCTGAAGGCTGCTACTACTTATAGCACAGAGAGATCACCATGCTGTATTCATGGACCTAGCTAAGTATTCCACAGGGCTCAGGGAAAGAGGATCAGAGAATCTGTAATCACAATGATACATTTATAATACAACTAAGGATGGCTGGGATGTTCATGTTTTATGACTACAGAAAAAAGATATGGTACAAGGAATGCCAGCTCTGCAGTTTAGAAAAGGGGAGCATAGGCTCTTTGCATGTGTCTCTAGAGTTACCCTAGATAGACAAAACCTTGGTGATGTTTTCACATTCATTCTGTCTTCTGGGTACATCCATCGTTACAATACAGACGGATGTATCAGACACTCTACAACCATTAGGATCTACCAATTTAAGCCTCTTGTGCTAATTCCATGCTCCATTAATAACCTCATTATAGTGTAACTTTCTGCAGAGATTTTCCCAGAAGAAATGAGTTCCCACACTGGAAGTCATAAACTTTAAAATTTGCCAAGTAGAGATTTCATTGTAAATCAATAAGCTGAGGTGATGCCAGGAGGCTAACCAATAGGAGTCCTCTTCAGTCTACATCCCAGGAAGAGCTCTGTGTCTCGGTAACTGACAGAAGAATGAGTTCAGTGGGTAAAGAGCTCGGGGTAAAGCTGAAGGAATGAGGCATGCCAAACCAGAGTCACATACTCATTTAATGTCAGCGGAGCAGGAACCACTCACTTGAGCAACTTTGGGAGGTGCATTGGGACCTAATCATCCTCCAAAGGCTATGATGAGAAGTTTGCCCTTCCTTCTAAGGCCAAGTAAAGTGGGATCCATTTGTAAGCATAAGAGCAAAACAGGTTTGTTTTAGGAAAACATCTCCATGATGGCCTGGAGGATGGATAAGATAAACTGGAAGGAATTAGGAAGAGTCTCAGTGGGAAAATCCCTGGACCTGAGAAAGGCAGGGACAATGGATTTGGAGAAGTTGGAGAGCCAGTAGAACAACACAGAACACACCTTACATCAGCCGGTGGGGATGCATGGATAGATTTGGCTTAGCTAAATAATTGGAGAGCAATTTGATTACTGAGATGGGGAATGGAACTAGAGGAGTAAGTTTTGGAGGGAGCATCTATTGAGTTCAGTCTCGAACATGTTGATCTTGAAATGTCTATGAGATATCCAAACGGAGCTGTCCAGAAGACAGCAGAAACTACAAGCTGTAGGTCAGAAGAACCACATGGGCATGAGCCTTCACTTTGGGATTTGCTGTATATGATGGCCAAGGTCAGAGAAGTTGATGAATTAGAATTTGTCAGTGGGGCAGAGCACAGGGAATGAAGTCATAAGAGGATTAAGAATACAATTCTGTCAGTACCACAATATATAAGGTACTAATCGAGCAAGAGGAGACGTCCTCTTTCCCAGAAGAGAATGAGAAAATAAGGAATGAGAAGAG